GCACAACAACTTTCAACAAGTCATCCAATCTACGGAAGCGGATATCAAGAAAGATGACGAAGATTTGATGGATATTGATACGAAGGAACATGCTGCCACAGGTTCCAATGGTCAGGCCCCTGAGAATGGCGCGTCATCGATACAACCACAACCTGTGCCGCAGAACACATTGTCCCCGAGTGGAGATGAGACATCGGTGAAGCAGGAACCAGTGGATGCGTCCAATGGGCAGGGGCAGGGACTAACATAGAAAAGCAGCACTTCCTGATCCTGATACCGCAATAGCGTCCGTCGAGGAACCAAATTTGGTGGGAAGTTCGAATCCGAACGAAGATAAAGATGGTGAATTACTAGTCCGATTAGATACATTATCAAAAGATGGCCATTCGAACGGTGTAGCAGACGCATGGTTCATGATGCTCGCAGCCGAGAAGCTGATTGTTCGATACGGGCCAAAGAGAGCGGGCAAGTATGTCATCCAGTCCGGCAAAGGACACAAATTCGATGGTCTTCAGCAAGTGTCCGATAAAGAGTCGCGGCTTTGGTCCGTCATGGACAGAGACAAACGGGGAATAAAGCACCGTCGCTATGGCCCCGAGAATATCGAAGGGATTGTTGGTGTAGCCATTCTGGAGAGGCCCCCTAATCCGGAAAGCTCTAAGGCGCCAACGACCTATGTCAAGCTCAAGTGGACTAATATGAAGGAGGAAGACAAACACCTGTGCCGAGGTGGCACCAACTGGATCACACGAAAAGACCTCATCCACATAACCAATGAGGAACTGGCTACGTCAAAAATAACGGAAGCCTGTGAGAAACAAGAGGCATGTTACAATAACTGGGAGCAAGGGCTACCTATTGAAATCCAAGCCGATCGCCCACGCCGTGTCCACCGGACGTGTGGCAACGAGTAAAGCGGGAAAGAAGCCATGTCCAGAGAGGACAATCTAGTATCACGGCAAAGCGAGAGGCGACAGCTAGCCCCGCTCCGGATACCATCAGTGCAGAGTCCAATGATAGTTCAGAAATGCAACCCGGAAATCCTGTCCGCTTAACTCCTATAGAAGGGGCAACTGGCGCCGCAACCGATTCCACTACGCCATCCGATAAGCCAGCGTCTCATATAACCTTTAGCCGGAAGGACTATGTGGAAAGGATGACCAACAGCATGGCCTTGGATAAGACAGATATGCCAGCACGCGTGAAAGCACTAGCCTTGATTGAAGCCAACTATACAGTCTATAAGGGCCATTTGTTGGCAAACGGAGGTGTGGAGGTGGATTAAGTGGATGGCATTGACCGGGTTAACATTGCTGGCAATGTGCACTCTGAGATTGGCCGGACGGTCTGTTTGTATTAGACTTTCTGTTTGGAAGATTGCCGGCTGAGGAAGAATGAGAAGGAGATTGATGCCTTTGATTTTCTGCTTTAGATGATACTGTAGCTTGGTGGATCATGAGCAGATTGAAATCAAGACGTTTACAGTACTGCAGTGGAAGGATAGCCTATTCATGCCAGATACGGCGGCATGGGCTTTTTCTAGAGTGCGTAGCAATTGTACCAGGCAATCAGTCAGTTTCGTCAAAATGGTTTTGAGTATTGGTCTGCCCATCATCTTGCTTGATGGAAATGAAATCCCATGTATATGCATCGATTCTTGTTCGAAGGCTTATGGCTGCTCGGGACTTGAGAAACTGGGAGGGTGTAGGGTCCGCGCCAAGCAGAGCTCCTGATCCTGTATCACTAACTTGGATCTCGCGGAAGAATTCACTTGACTCAAGTATCTGCCTGCTCAGCCACTTAGAATCGTGCCTTTGAACCCTTGTTAGTATGTCTATCCCCTGGACACATAAGCGGACGGACTTGGAGGAACCTTTGGTTATTGTTACTTTAGCTGATTCAACATTTCGTAATCCTGTTTGCACTGCACTGGAGTGTTCCACGGTCTCCATACATGGATCTGTAGAATGACTGGCTTGCCCCCACAGCTAATTCGAGTTCAAGCGGTGCTTCTCTACTGTAGAGCGGTATACATAGCAGTCGAAAACAATTTCTTTTTTTACTAATTAGTCCTTTATTAACGTGATGTAAAGCTAGGGTAAGATGAAAAAGTGATTTCCATAAGCCACCATGGTAAAATGGACCTTAAAGACTGACCTTTTCGGACAGAGGCAGAAGCTCGCTAAATACCCATATAATGCTCCTATGGGTCTCTTTAGCACACCTCATATGCCTGATGCCTGGGCATCGGATTGAAAGCGCGCATAGGACCCGCTTCCTTCGGCTTTGACCGCACGATTTCACGGATAAATAAGCGGGTGTCTGTCATATACTTGACCGTTTCACCATCTTCAACTGCCATGGGAGGGGCGCAGAGGCCAAACATCAATCATGAAAGTATGTAACATCTAGCTGTACCGGCGGCCCAAAGCCGACGCCGTGAAATGCTTATAAGTCGACATCTTCCATCTACCATATCGGGCTTTTTCTCCCCCCGAGACAATGTCTTCAACCCTCTCAGATGTGTATAAACAGGCCATCCAAATCCAATACGTTGACTGGTACGGGATATGGGTGGCGGCTTTGCTGGGCGTCTGGCTGATCGCGCGGTTGGCGCACCAGCTTGGTCGATGGACTATCCAACGCCCGGTTGCGGTCTCCCTTGGGCGGCGCATCGGCCCATGGCTGGGCTGGTGTCCAGCAACGCGCGGCGAAGCTCGCCGTCCTGAACTTATTGCCGCTTAGTACGGGCCTGACCTTTGGCCTCCCGGCCCATCTGCTCGGAATCAGCCGCTCTGCCGTTGCGTGGTTGCATCGCTGGTTTGCGCGGGTGATGACCGCCCATTCCCTGCTTCATGGAGCCGTTGCCATCGCCAGAGCGGATAAGCCGATCCCCTCGATGAGGCATGACTGGGTTCCCTTGCTGGTCAGTCACCACGCCGCCCCTTGACTATTATTACTGTGACCCGAGAGCGATACCACTAACCAGGGTTAGGCAGCTGCTGCCATTTTGACGATGATCCCTGTGACCTTGCATGTGGTCGTCCGACGTCACTGTCAGGTGGCCATGAGAATCCACTACCTTCTGGCGATCACAGCAATGGTGGCCCTGGGGTATCATACGTGGGACCAAGAGTCACAATACCGCTGGCAAGTGGTTGGTGCTGGGGCCCTATGAATCTTGCTGAGTTTCGTTGCCGTCTCTCATGCAGTTTTCGTCCAACAACGTTGGAGTGCTGGACGGCCCGCCGTAACCATACGTCCCTTTCATGATGTGCTTCGCATGGACATTACAGTGTCCCCCCATTGGCACATCGGCCGGGGCAGTATGTATACCTCTGGTTACCTCACGCTAGATTACGCTCGTGCTTCCAACTCCAGCCCTTCTATGTCGCTTACTGGGATGACCCGCCCGGACCGCGCATCCTGTACGTTCTGACCCGACCACGAGCCTCCAGCCTCAGTACACGACTCTACCTCCGTGAATGGCTACACCAGCGTCGACAGCCTGCACTGTTGCTGGGGCCATACGGCCGATTTTTCTCTATTTGGGACGATCGTGTTCATCGTAGAGGACATTGGCATGTTGCGAGTGCTTCCCTATATCCGCATGCTCGTCCAGGCGAGCGAGCATGGGCGGGCCATGGTACGCAAGTTAAAAATGGCGGCGTGGCAGATGCAAGACTTTGTTATGGCCGTCTCTCATGCACTGTCCGAATCCGCAGGGATCCGAAAGAATCCTAGACCACCAATGCTGGCTGGGCGATTGGATGCAGGACCTCTTGGACCTCGACTGCGGTGGATTCAAGGTATGTGTTAGACCCTCTGCAGACATTAATAATGCTGCCCTGACTCGAATAGATTCTTGATTTTCATCTGTATTACCTTACAAAGACGACATCCGTTAACCCCGTGACGCGTTCGGAGAGCGAATCAAACTATGTCAAGGGCCACTGATGGCCAGAGGTATCGTCCAAGGTCACCTGAGAAAGCGTCATGGGGAGCTAGCTAGCTGTCGGTGGTAGGTTGACTTCCCACCCGATCGATTCATCCGTCAACCTACAACGGCTGTGTGATGAGAGTGCTTCTGACAGACCGTGTTCGACATGCGCCCGATGACTAATATTTGCTCAACCTAGTGGGTGCCCGTCAGTCCATTCGCCAATAGGTCCAGGATGTGGTCCAGCCTCGGACGGGGCCAGTTATCAAACTCTTTGACCTCGACCTCGAGCCAGGTCATGTTAGGGAGGCTCCTTGTCGCAACAAGAACACCGCCACCGCTCCGGCCTCGAGTGATGTTTAGAAGTGGGTTGCCTCTCGCATTCTTGAAGGTTATCGAAATTTAAATGAGTTCCAGTATGCCTATGACATGACGACGGTCTTTGCGCGCAGCCAATGCCATGTGGCAATGGCATCCATCGCTGCTTCTCGTCCTCTCCCTACAGTCCGATACGTACGCGCTCAACACAGACCGCCACGGATTGAAAATTACCTCGTTCATTGGTTGGTGAACGGTCCAATCGATTGCGGGTCTCAACCCCCTTACTCGGTAGGCCGTTGATGCCGGCACATCTGGTGTGCCGTCGCGAACAAATTCCCCAAGGATACCCTGTGGAGTCCTGCCAATGCTTACCATGACCGGTCGAGAAGCTACGACCGCTACAGTGCTCACATCGCGATCGCTTAACACTGCTCTGTTGCGGTAAGCTAATGCATGTGGCATTGCACGGGCAGTCCTCAGTGGTCATTAAGCAGCCTTGGGTCATGCGATGGCGAATACGCAAGGGCACCCAACCGGAGCCGTGTCCAATTACTGTCGGGGTATGCTACGCTGAAGCCTAGCGAGCAAATACAATTTCTTTCTCTGTTTCAGATTGCCTTGAAGGCTCCATGCATCCACTGATATTGTCACAATGGCCAGGAAATCCGTTAGTTGAAGGTGCAGGCCTGGACCGACGACACTGCCGTGGGAGCAGCCCCTCCATTTCGAAATTCGTCGCTTGGTGATTATGCCTTTGATCGTCGAGCAGGATCAAAAGCTTGAGGTCTCTTGAATGTATGCGGTGCTGTCGACTATTATCAGAGTTATCCTATCGGCAAGTGGCCGTCCTGGGACTCCACGGTGAGGGGCAGTCGAAAAGATAACCATGGCTACTCTGCGCACGGCAATTTCCCAGATGGCCTTCCATAGCCTTCATTTTGCCTACCTATATTTCCAGGTGTTGGGCATGATTTGACCAATATTCCACAATTCTTGGCCCGGAGTCTGACCCAGGGTTACGATAGACGAGGAACAAACCTGAAGTCCCCTCTTAGGCGAACTATTCCAGTGTGACAGTTCAAAACAATATCAGGCGTACGCGTGCTACAGGCAATACTCCAGTACCAAGTCCATATCCTATCTCCGCTTACAGGTCACGAGGATGTCTTTCGATATGCCTCTATCATGCTGCCAGCCCCCATTGAGTAGTTAGTAATGCATCTTACGGTCGTCGATTATTGGCGTCGAATGCTCATATGGCCAAGACACGAGCGAGAACCCAATACTCTACGCAGGTTGAGAGTGTATTCTGGAACAGACCCAATGAATGCTAGAAGAATTCCGAATTCAGGGCGTTTTCTTTGAAAACATCTCTTGAGGCTTCTAGTATGGAGAGCGTACTGGCTTCTTCTTTAGCATGTGATAAGAGGTTGGAGAGCTGGATTTATTTAGCCTGTATTGCTTATAGGTTCTTTGTATTCTGGTTTTGAGGTATCTCTTTCGCTTTCATACGCAAAGCCAACCGTCTACCGACGGACCGAGAACCCAGCTCAGGAAACCCAGTCCCAATTGTTTTGGGTTGCGGTCAGGCAAAATAGCCTGTCTGCACCTAGTTTGACCAGTCCCCAGTCGGTCATCGTTGTGTGCCACAAGGATCGGCGAGGTTACACTCGGCCCTTGGTCAGACCATGCCTAGAACCATGGTCTCGATGTTACCTTCAACTCCGGGCTTGCATTGGGTGGACCGTTTCGCGCAGGGCTGGCGCGTGGTGTCATTTTGCTTCGAATCAACGAGACAGCCAGCCTTTATAAAGTGCCACGTGAGTCCTAGGCTGGGGCCTCTCGCCTTCGCGGTATGCACACATCTCACAGGAATCTCAGTTCTCCTATCATCACCTTTACCCTCTGACAACCATGAAGTCTCACCTGCCACGACTTAACGAACTCCGGAAAGTACTGGCATCGGCTGAGAAGAAGTCGCGTTCCGGTACCCAGTCGAATGCCTCACACTACACTGAATCAGCTCCGCCAGACGACAGGAAGCCGAACTTCCAGGTCGTCTCGGGTGAGGGTATTTTAACCCATGAGAACGACGCAAGCGACAGAGATGCAATGTCGGAAGTTGACAGCGTGACCACAAACGAGCTTCCTGAGCATCCCAATAACGTGGCTGATACGTCTACGAAGGCTCTCACGATGTTGATCTGCGAGTATGTCCCGCTCTATGATGTCCCAAACCCGGCCGTCATCCACCCTCAAACTGTGCTGATCTGTATCTTCAAGTCTCGAAACCAGAGTCCGGTAAGTCTATTTTCATTGCGCTGCCAAGCGACATTTTACGGGACCTCAAGCTGAGGGGGAGCTATAGAAAGCTAGAGGAACAAGTAAAGCATCAAAACCAGGAGAATCACCGCCTGCACGAAAGAGTGAGCGGCATCTGTGAGGGTGTCCCGACTTCTCACACCAAATCCCGTCGTTCAGCTCGGTACAAGGACATGGAGTCGGAATGAACGTCGCTGCGCGCAGGAGAAGGGAACGGAACGTTTCTCATGCTAGGCCGGGGGAGGGTACAATGGGACAAGGTCTTAGTTATATCGCCCGGAACTACTGTTTCACACCAAGCTTTTAAGAACTGCTCGATTCTGAGAGTATATAACTTTCTTCATTCGAGAGTGAATGTTTGTGCTGTTTGTGCTGGCTGCAGTAGAGCGAGGGCAACCTGGTCTGTCGATCCCAAGATGAAGGAATACGTTGTCTTAACAAACTTCCACCCCGTAGCTGCATTTGGTCGTCGGTGGCGTAAATGGTTGAAAGAATCAGCAGCATACTTAATCATGACTCCAGCGGTTCGGTGAAGTGGGTCTCCATCATGTCCGCGAGACAAAGACGCGAGGATGTGTCCAACCTGTGTCGCACCCTCCCCCTGCTGGTACTATCCCCAGGGTTTGAGCCCATCGAATCTCCACTGTAAGTTCAGTTAATTTGTCGGAGGTGATCGGCACATCCTGGTGTGACGTGGGAGGCAGATCACGTTTGTCGCTGCCTCGCGACGTCCTCGTTCGATGGCCAGGTCACCATGGCGACAACGTCGTAGGCATTTTATACTTCCAAGCCAAGAAATTTCTATTTTTTTAGTTCGTTTGCGCCACGAAGTGCATTGCGAGTGTTTTCTTTATCTTCCCCGATGCCACTGAGCCTCGCAATGGTTAACGATGTGGACTCCTGACCCCTGGAACTAGCTGACTCAGCAAGCCATCGGTTTGGCGCTAACGTAAACCACGGTTAGGCGGCCCAGCTGGTAATACTATTATAAAAGACCCTTTTTAAATATAAGATATCTCAACCATCAAAAGTCTAAGAGACGTGAATTTTGCAATATTACAGAGAATCTTTAGATATGCTCAAAAGATTTTATAAATATATATTATAGATTATCATAATACAATACCTGTATTTTTTATGTAATATAGAAAAATATGATTTGTCTGTGAGAATAAAAAGCACTAAAAATCTGAAGAATTTATGGGATATATATTCTTATATATATAATCTATCTATAATATTAGGACCTCTCAAATACAGTATTCGCTGAGATATAAAAGATTAAAAAGGCATCTTTTATATGGGATAGTAGGATGGGCCACCTAACCGTGTGGGCCGCCTAACCGTGGATTACGTTAGATATTTTCGATTTACAGAGATTACCATCGTAACAAGAAAAACATGCTGGATTTTCTGTTGTATGGTATCAATACAGCCCGAAGCAAATGGCTCATTGGTAATATAGTATTCTACCCTATTGCGGGAGTTATGCTCGGAGACTGGTACAGGGGCATGAATCACGGGCCATGGCGCACAATGAACCCAGATGGTAGAAGATTTTCGCAGTATACATAGCGTATGGCGTTCCTCCAAAGTATGGCGGGTATTTCCCTACATTTGCGATCCTAGAGTCTGGTCCAGTCGTGCTTCCGTTCAAATCATTCTTGTTTTACCTAGCACACGGATTGCTCGAGACAGGTATGGTTGCGGGTCTTCGCCTGTCGAACAATAAGTGACAACTCGGGTCGGTTTTGGGAACGCAGTTTGGCCAGTCTGTGCCAGCCTCGATGGTAGGAAAATCAATCGCATACATCAGACCTTCCGGTACATAACAGGTCAACAGTATGCGGCAAAAAGCAGCAATAGTCAATAGTTGGGTTTGGGGATTGCCTTATGCGGCGGTATGGACATAATGTGGGTTTATGCTGTAAGTTTTTACCATCTCCTGCTTCGGAATTTTGTAGTATTGTAGAACCGGATCATCTGTGCAGCGTAGGGCATATCGTCTCCAACTGGTCGAAGTGCATTTCAGAGGTCTCAAAAGCAAGCTCGGTGGGTTTTCTAGATCACGGTGGACAACATTCTAACCGCTCCGTGGCCGGTCAACGAGACCGTGCTGGCGTGCGTGTCCGTGAGTGCTACTGGTGGCCATCATACAACCTCGACTGTGGATACTGATGAAAACAGACCTTATACGGGTAACGATTCCTGCGTGATCAGGGAAGAGCCTTAGTCACCTTGGGGCCGGAAATGATCTGGCTGAACAAAAGGGGGCAGGTCCGCCTTGGTAAGTCGGACCCTTCCATTATCGTCATCGAGAGCATGGTCCACTAACCTTGCATACTAGCCGGCGTGGAACAGAGCTACCAGATCAAAACGTCTGACATGAATGCCGACTACCCGCCCTGGCAACGATCATGAGGAGCATGATGGCTACAGGTGCAGGGCACGGAAGATGGAGCTCTGAGGCCCAAACTTTCCTGTAAAATCTGCCTGTCAAGCCACTGGATGTGCTAATGAAGGCAAGTTTGTACTGAGTCGACAGAGCGGCTGGTTTTAACCAACTTTAGAATTCATCCCTTGAAAAGGCGACCGACGAGAGCGACCTGAAGCTATGCGCGCACGTCGCAAACAAACAGGCCAGATATGATCTCGTACTGTTATGATGTCCCTGGCATGCATCGTATTTTAGCGCATATCGTTGGGTGTAGCTTTCGCAGCCAAGAGTTGTAGGGGCTGCAGGCTGGAAGATGGCATCATTAACGTCCTTCGCGTGGTTCGGCACCTACCCTTCCGAACAGTCGGATCATGTTTCGAATCCCTAAAGTGACGATGGCGCCCTCTTCCTTTTATTCGCTCTGTTTCGGAAATACAGTACACTACGAAGCACATGGTTGAAACAATTGCCAAAGTTCGACTTGTCAGAAGTATTGTACCTAGGCTAGTGGTGCGGAGATAGGCATGCTAGGCTAGATACTAGGGAGGCACGCGCTTTGAAAAGCATCCGACAGGGGACAGGAAATGCCAGACACCCCTTAACTCTTGGTCGTCTCAGCGACGTCAAATATCCGATTCCTCATTCTGGGATATGGTGCTAAGCGATATAATACACAGAACAACCAAACTCCGATTGAAATCAGGGCTAGGTAGAACCAAGCACATACTATCCATATACTTCTCTTGATAGCTGTGACAATCATATTCGTCATATTTGACCTATGTGCTGTCTCTTGTAAGGCCAAGCACCATCACCACTCGCCTGGTGATATATCTTATATATAATGAGCTAACGTAAATATACATCTCACCAATATTAACAGAATGGCCTTTTTTTACGAACCATGTTTGAGGATTTCTGATATTCTGATCTTTTGTGATTATTATATGATCATCTACCAAGTGTGAAGGGCCACAACAAACATCTTTTCCCATGGATTCCCAGGTAGTCTTGCATTGACAAGCAAACGCTCAGAAATCCTGTGGGCCACTGGTTCATCTGTAGGGTCATAGTACCGCGCCAGGTGGGAATGTGCCAAAGCCTTGGAAGCCGCTAACCTCCCTTGAGGGTCGGACGTCAGAATCTTTTCCAGTAGATTGACAACTATGGACGTATCAGATTCATGTCCTTTCTCACTCTTTGTGGTAATGCAACGTGCCCACGGAAAGAAAGTATATGTTACACCACAAGATGACCTACCAAATATGGCATCATTGTGTTGGGATAGAGCATCGTGAATGCCCGGAAATGTGGTGAGCAGTGACTCGATTGCTTCGAAAGAGACTCTATAATGCTAAGGGTCTTGTTTCAGAATCTCTTGATATAAGCTCTGTTTCAATATCAAGAGACAGGACTGGACTCTCACCTTCTTGTCACGAATGTCCTCAAGCATTTGCTCCGGCGAAGAGCCGAGTATGTCCACGAAAAGTTCTAATTGGTGCCTGAGATCTTCTCCGGCAAAGACAGCGCTTCCACGAAATATCTCGCCTAGAATACATCCAGTGCTGAAAATATCGACTGCCGGATCTAGTTGCTGACATAAGAGTATGACCTCTGGGGCTTGGTAGTGGTGTATGAAACAGCTGCAGGTTGGCCAAGGATTGAGTCCATCGAGATCAAGGTTGCCAATTTTCAGATCAGCGATTTCATTGACCAAAATGTCCGCGGGTTGGAGATCGCAATGATACAAGCTTGCTGAGTGAAGATATTTCAACCCTCGCGTTTGATTGTTACAATGGAATACTTCTGCTATATTTGCAGTTCGTACTCACTAAGATCTGATATAAGAAATAGGTGGTGAAAATATGATCCAGTCTTCCCGTTCCCATGATTTGGCCAAGTTTGGGCCCTGAAGACTCACTGACAACGTATCTAAGATCCTGTCGATAGCCGATCTCTGAGCTTGAGACTGATGCACGCACTTATTGCCGAGAGGTGAAAGAAAGATATCGCTGAGTAAGACCAGCTAATCCTCAGTCACTACTATCAGCAGCCGCTGTACAGAGGGAGTGGTGTATGCTCACATTGCTATGCCGAAGATGCTTTAATGATACTATTTCATGAAAAGCGTTCCTCGAATAGCTCCTTGCATAGAATGGCCTTGAGATCTTCCTCAGCGTCACGGGTTGCTGCATGATTCGATCGTATGCGGGGCTGTCCGTAGCTTTATCAGTTCATTTTGCGAATGAACTTAGCATGGCATCGGGGTATCGTGGTTCGGCTTACCAAAGAAGACCAGACGCTGCCAGACCTTTCACCCAAAGATCCGTATACCTATAAGCATTGAATTTGTTAACAGCACTCAGTTACACGAGTGGCCCGCACTAACCTTTCAGTCACTTTAAACACGGTACCTAGTATCTCTGTTTGTAAGGATCCCGCCATGTTAAGGTCATTTATCCGTGTGAAGATAAGAGACGGACAATCGGGAAGACGGGCAGCGCGACTGTGCTTTTCAAAGAGGCTCTTTCGTGTGTTACGTCCACCTAACAATACTACTACGAACTCTATCCTAATTAAGAGTGTAGGTGCAGTATTAAGAGGCCAGGCGTGTGTAGTGATATTCTTTGAAGATACCAGTGGATTGCTCAACTGACTGCTTCTAGCCGCTTGGCTTCGGCTGTCTCAATAACCAATCCCTTGCGATCGCTTATTATGACCAATATCAGGTTGCGAGCTTTGTCTTAAAGGAGCATAGTGCGGCTCTTACTGAAGTGATAAGTGCCAGGATAGCTTAGCACCAATCCTCATAGACCCCGATCGCTCTGGGAGGGGGACTCTGCTCCATACCTTTTGCCTTCCTTCGTGCGTGGATCACGGGCCGGGCACAACATTTTCCGCATTCCACATTTTTTCTAACTTGTCCCAGTGAGTATGACTTGACCCATAGAATGTCGACCTGAATTTCCGGCCAATAGCAACAATAAGCATTTCGGTAGCAGATTTTGCGGCCCACTCCTCTTTGTCTAATATGGTCTCATCTGACATTTTCTTCTGCCAGAACATGACAAGACAGTAAGGCTAAGTTGACGATGCCGTACAGGTTACTCGTACCGCCCTGTCCAAAAATCAGGATGGTTTAATTGGGACCTCAGAAGCTTTAATGCAGAACAAGTCAAAGCCCCGGAGTCCGACCGGTATGGCAAACGCCACCTTCCGTTTCTATCTTACCAGCTGCGGTTATTACGTTCTGTTAGGTCCCCACTTAACTAGCTGTATTGTGGCCTGTATTGAATTCCGCTAATAGCAGCAATTTACAACTTACTGTCCACTCTTTCCGCAGTTGATTACGTACATCCAGGGCACACTCGTCATCTTCTGCCGTTGTCCCTCATCGCACGGCGTTCGGACACAAGCCCGCCAATTCCGCTACCCCTCTGGCTTTTCCCACAACAACAATAACATCCACCAGCCACCGCAATACTGCACCTCCCACTTCCCCGTCATTCAACATGCCTAGTGGCTCTATCGCTGAGCACGCGTCGTACGTTGGCTGCCTTTCTCTGGGGCGTGAAGATCATGTTTGACTAAGTTTGCTCCAGGGACGAGGAATATAAGCGGAAAGTCGAACACTCGGTTGAGCCCGTTGTGGTCACTTTCCTTTCCCCATTGGACGATAAGTGCAATGCTGTCGCCTCGGGCATTGCCGAGCTTAGTCACGAGTTCACAACCATCAAGTTCTACGAAGTCGACGTCAGAAAGCACGCTATGCTCTCCAGAGCCCTTTCCATCACAGAATTGCCCATCGTCGTCTTTGTCAAAAACGGCACAAAGTTTTTGACCCTAACCGCAGATGTTTCCCTTCCAAGTATTCGGGAAGGCCTCCAAGCGCTCCAGATGGCGTCTCATTAAGGCCCAGTTGGTCACTAGATAGCCACGTCCTTATCCCGAACACCTGCTCCGAGCACGTCTGGGAGCCGGCCCTCGCATAATGCCCTGCCTAGTTGGTGGGCGTCTACTCATGGTATCTTACAGTGGCCCATTGGGCGCTGAAATATTGAGACATTCTTACGTCGTCGCCTAATTGTAACCCAAAAATTTTTGCGGGGTGTCCGTGCCGAGTCCATTTGATTACGATGACGTCACAGGAACGAAGGCATTTTCATGTCCTTCACCACGATATATGCAGAAGCGAGAAGAACAGGGAATATCACAGTTTAAAGTAATTCGACAATGACTCTGTTTGGCACGAGTAGCAAAACTGATTCAGGGTTTCGCTAGAGTTTCTGCCCTGCAACTCGCCTATGATCAGGCCCGCGTGCCGGAAGTGTCCCTCTGCGCTTTTGCCCTTGCACTAATCACGTCAACGCACCGTTGGAGGAAGTTATCGAATCCCTGGTCTGGGTTCTCTTTGTAGAACTGCTAATGCCGCCGAATAAAGGTTGTGAGCTCAGCAAAAGGAACTTCTCGACGGGATTCAGGTCTGGAAAATACGAAGGCAAATACACCAGCTTTGCACGCTCCTCTGAACCTGCTCTATGCACTCAGTGTGATGAAAGGTTGCGTTGTCCATGACTAACACAGATTTCGGCTTAGACCATTTCCCTCAATGCTGGAGAAGCTGCCCAATAAAGTCCTCAAGAACAGACGAATTCGTTGAGCCTTGGAACACTCGAGACGAAACGATGCCATCTTGGGCATATGCAGACAGTATCTGATAACGCTGATCACGACGGAATTTGGACACTTGGACTGGGGCAGGTGCCTAGTGGGGACCAACCTGTTCGCATGAAGCCTA